GCCTCGGCCATTAAACCAACCCGGCATCAAAGTCTGTCTGCCGCGGTTCGTTGGCTGGGGAGGTCGCCATTTTTCACGCCGTCCGATGATACCAAACCCCGAATCCCGAAACCCGGACCCCGGTCGCTACGGCCCATCCTCACTAGTGACCTCAGCATAGCGAACCACTCGATGCCGCATAAATCCGGCACCAGCTCCGACCCACAAACCCGCCGCCCCTCGCCTCGGTCTACACACACACACCCACTCGCTTGCTTATCACATCATCTGTTCTCCTGTCCGTCTATAAAACACATGTCACACCTTTTCCCTCCTCTCTCTCTCTTACACACACACACACACACACACACACACATACATACATATATATATATATATATATATACACATACACATACACACGAACATATAGGCACACATCTGATTTGCTTTCCACACTCATCATAATCCACTCGAGAGTGGAATACAAAATGACGTTAATGTCCACCCCTGTTTTGGTGTCCAGTCGCAGCCGGTCAGAATCGTGCGAATTGTGAGACTCGCAGAGTCACCCGAAGACGGTTGAAGAAGAGAACTTTAGACACGAGGCGGTGATTTCGAGCAGAGGTTCTTGTTCTTCAACACCTCGACGAGGAATACTTCCAGCCCATTTCATCACACCCTCTCACACGGCATATGCGCAAGTCAGACAAATGAGCTGTGTTCACCCTATTTCGACCGAGGCGATTAAAGCCTGGTGGTACAACATTCCCCCAATCGGAAGGATCAGAATAGTACCGTTTGCGAGAGCAAGAATGTGTGAACTTCAAGCAACTTCTCTTCGTTATGTTGAAAATGTTGACATTGTGCCGACGGCAGCAGAAGTGAGACTGCCGACAAGCAGATTAACTCACCAGAAAACGGCGGCTGATTCGCGTTTCACCGCAGTCGTATGGATGTAACACCACCCTCAGGGCTACGCATTCCATGAAACATCCGCCTCGGCAACAATGAATTCCAGCTCTGATGATCTCCTTCGAAGTATGAACAAAAGCTCAGCCAGTTTTCACGCAAAGCGAAAGACGTCTCGTCGACTGCGCCAACCCGAAGATCGTACGACGCGAAGCAACGTCGTCATCGGGCAAGAACGACGTAGCGAAAGTCGCACAACAATGTTATGGGAAGGGGTGCATTGAAAACCGCCTAATCTTCACAACGCAGACGGTCAGTTGTTCATTTTTGCCCAAACCGGTATTTGGCGCTAAACTACGGTCGAACAGGCCCAACAGCGAATAAACATAGACAAAGGCGAGGGCGAGGGCGAGGGCGAAGGTAAAGATTGGGGGGGAGATAGAGTGATAAGCAGGCGACGATGCCAATGTCGATTCCAACGATAGAAGCATAGACTAACGCAAAGGCAAAGAACACGGCCCAAAGTGGGCGATGACAACGCGAAGGGCGACGACACTTTGAATGGTGACAGAAACGGCGAGTGGCGTGTGTGGGAGGTGGTGAAGAGATTGGGTGATTTCGAACAAACATTTCGAACATCTCGACCGGCCAGAGGCCCGTGCTTGTACCGGGTTAGGTTGTCAAGGCCACCGGTAAAAAGGATATTTGTTGTTTCATAATTGTTGGGCTGACTTACATTTCGAGTAGAAGTGTTTGGTGAAGAGATTCGAAGCTCGGTTCCACCAGAATCTCTTCCCCAAACACT